TATTAGGTGAAAATTGGAATCAAGTATAATATAGGGATCCAAATGCAATCTTTTTGAGTTATTAAGAATAGATATTATATATTTTTTTTGTAAGTAAGTCAAATAGTCTATTTTATTTTTTTAGTTTTTATTTCCTATTATGCTTTTTGGTGTATCATCCTAGTAGCTTCTTTGAGCAATATTTATTACAACGGTGATATTATGTGGTAATGCTGATATTACCAACCAATAATAAAATATCTAGTGGCTAAGATAAACCCCACTCGAGTAGTTATTTGTTACAAGGGCTCCAATAAAATATCTGATAGGTAAGGTAAACTTCACTTGAGTAGTTATTTGCTTATAAGGGCGGAGCTAGGAATATATCTAAAAATAATTCACTAGTTGACATCCAAAAAAATTGAGTGTAAGAATGATAAAATAGACTAAGATTCGATACATTAACACAATCAAGTGTCATAGTAAAATACAATATTCTTTAAAATCTCTAAAAAATTTTATAATTGATTAATTGTAAGTTAGATTTCACACCAATTTTCTATTAATGCGTATAATATAGTTGAAATCATCTCAATCTTATTGAGAAATTACATATTTGACATAGCATAAAATGCTTTTGGGTTATAACATATAGCATTTGCATCCAATCATGTTTTATTAGGTATAGACTACAAAAAAATTGAAAAATAATAAATGATAGCTACAAAATTATTTTTAAAAAGATAGGAAGCATTGTATTAAATAGAATAAAAAAATTATATTTTTTCAATATATATAAATAGATCACGACGTTTACATCTAATTTACTCAATCTAAAAGTAAAACATTTATTTTAGAGGGCTAATGAACCACTAATTTACTGGAAAAAAAGGGAGAGACTAGTACTGTAATGTAAATTTTTAAAATTTAGGGGGAACAAATGTAGTACATTCCAAAATACTATGGGGTTCTCATCAAAAGTGTAATACCCCCAATTTTTGAAATATATATATATATATATAACTCAGTTAGGTCAATTTGTGATATTATTTTTGAAAAGGGATGTTAGTGTAATTAATGAATGAGAAATTGTTGGGTTATCGTACGGTTTCTTTGATTTTGTATTTACATATATGTAACCCGTCAAAATAGGGTAAAATAAAAAAAAAGGATAAAAGTGTAATTAAAATAAGTTCTCTTGTTACCCTAAAAGTCTAATGACATATATATATATATATATATATTCTCTTCTCAACATATAGACATACGTTAGAGTTAGAATAAGAGAAAAGAGATAAGAGGATAGAGTTTTGAGTAAAGAAAAAAGAAGAAAAAGAAAGAAGGGGATTTAGAGAAGAAAAAAGAAAACTAGAAGATTTGATCATCAAGATTAGTCTTCAAATTAAAATTTAATTTTGAATTTAATCATTATATGTATGTATGTATGTGTATATATATATATATATATATATATATATATTCATGGTAAAGAATAGTGATGAACGTATAAATGAGTTTTGTTGAAAATTGTTAATTTAAGTGTTTTGAGATCTAATATTAGATTTACTAGTCATAACCCGTGCCTGAAGGTACGATAAAATATAAAATTCAAGCGTCCAAAAAATTGATTCCATTATATTAAATTTTTTTTAAATATATTAATTATAAATTAATCAAATATTAAATGATTAAATATATGATAGAAATGAGTGATGTGATATTTTTATAGAGGAAATATATAAATGATTAAATATGTGATAGAAATGAGTAATGTGATTTAACGTTTGAGTCTGACAAAAGGATGGATGGGTGAAATAAGTGATTGGTGATGGTTTTGAGGGAGAAAATATGACTAAGATAAAATTCAAACACACTCCTGTTTTATTATATAGATTATTTATGAGACTTTAAAGAATTGATTTAATGTCTAACAAAGCAAAAGAAAACAAAGAAGGAAGAAACCAGAACGTTACCGACGGCTGGAACAAGGTCGAAGAAGATAAAGTTTTGGAAATTATGGAAACTCCCTCCTTAGTTTTAAGTAGTTTTATTTTGATCCCTATACTTTGATAAACTCAAATTTTGACTACTATGGAACTTGATAATTTATAAAACTGGCCCAGTATGTTTGAAACAAATATGGTTATGTCAAAACAGCCCCCGAGTCTTGAAATTTTTTTAAAATTTTGAAACGACCCCTAAAAGTTTTGATTAAGTATTTAAATATTAATAGTTACTCTAATAAATCAAATTGAGGTGATATTATTGGAAAACAGGTCTCTAGAACCTTAAATACTATTCTGAAAAATGTATGGCAGGCCCGAAAACAGAAAATTCGTTTTAAAGAAATTACACTTTGACTCCAAAAATTTTAAAAATTATAATTTGACCCCAAAACTTTAGAAACTTTTGTCCAACAGTCCAGAATACTTCATACATTGTTACCTCATATTATAAAGGATATTTGTATGTAGAATATATATTAAATATATATTAATGAGTAGAAAATATAAAATTAAATATAGAATCGCGAAACGACGAAATTAGAAAAAAATGATTGATTGTTATATGTTATTTTGGATTAGGTGGTGATTGCATTGAGGTTGGGAAAGAGTGCTTTGAATTAGATTTTAGAAATCAAAGTGAGTAGTTTACTACTTCTTTTGGAAAAATTTTCTATAGTGTGAATTTTTCATATATATGATATATATTAATGTTTGAGGTTGCAATTAAATGTTTTGCAATTGTGAATTGTTATACATGTGAATTTAAAAAACTTATGATATGATTTTATATCATTGCTTAAATGTGTTTTGGGAATGAAAATGAAATTTCATGTGCATTGAGACTAAAACAACAGTTTTAGTGTGTGTATTGAAATCATGTTTTATGAGAATGGGACTGAGTTACTAGGTCTAAATGGTAACAAAATTGTATATCGGCGTGGTCGGTATGAGAATGTACACATAGGAGCCAGTTATCAGGCTAGTGATAACAAAAGACGGGGCCAGTCATCAGACTAGTGATGACAAGATATGAGGCCAGTTACCAGACTAGTGATAACAAACATGATTTGACAAGTGTATTTGAAACTGAATGTGTGTGTGAGTGTTTTGAGCTATAAATGTCTTTTCTTTTATAAAGTTATTATAATCATGAGATCATTTTGTTTATATGGTTATGTGAAATGGATTGGGGTACAATTTATTGTATTTATGTATATAACAAAGTTTATTTCTGTGTATATGAAATGTGAGATTTATTTTCAAACCTCATTAGAGGTGGTTACTACTCACAGGCCTTCGTGCTCATCCAAATATTTAATATTTTTTCAGGTGAGGATCAGGAGGAGGAGTAAGTCCTCGGATAGACAAGGGATTAGAAGAATCGAAGATTTATTTTATTGTAGGTCTTCAAGAATAAATATTTTTTATAGTTTTGAGACAAGTATTCGATTATTTTGAGAATAATGTTGTTTTTGCTTAGAGTAGTGAACCTTATGGATTAATTATTGTTTTACATGAGTTTAGTAATAATATCGGTGATGTTAGTTTATTTCTCTGATATTCATTAGGTCGGTGAAAATGATCACTTTATTATTTGTCTTCCGCTGTATTTTACATTAACCATGCACAGAGATGGTTGGTTAAGGCCTTGGTGGCCGGTCCGCTGCTCACCCAATGTGATCCGAGGTGGGGGTGTGACAAAAAGTCATCCAAAAGTTAGGGGGAGGGCGGCGATAAGTGTAGCTCCGCCCTTGTTTGCTAACATAGAGGAATAATGAGTTGTTATTTGCTTACGTGGAAGGTTGATTATTAATTTTAGTGAGGCCTATTTACTTATTTATTTTGATATTATTAGTTGGTGATATCACATTAGCATTACCACATAATATCACCATTGTAATGAATATTTTCTCCCAATCTTGACAGGTTTTCCCAAGGTCTTGGTGGCTTTGAAATGCTGTTTAGGAGTGCCATTAGTGAGTAAGGAAAAATCAATAACAACTACTGAATTTTCTAGGTTTGAAGCTTTGGTTTCATTGGGTTCTACTGAGTATCTTTCAAACCCTAATACCTCCCTCACACACAATCACATACCAAATAGCTATCAAGGAACATTTTTCCAAGCCAAACTGATGAACCTTCACAAGCCCAAATTGACTAGATCCTCACATATTCGGAACCTCCATGGAATCCCTGAAAGACCATTGTGTGAGGTTTCTTTCCCCCATACCCTCTATTCAAGAAAACCTAGAACCTCATCCACATGATAATGAGGCACCCACAATAAACCTCCTTCTAGACCAGCCTATCTCAGACTTCATAATAAAGTCATACCTAGTGGGAAAAGTTATCTCAGATAAACCTCTAAATTGACGAGTGGTGAAAGACCTTGTAATCAGAGCGTGGAGAGGAGAAAATCAGGTGGAAATAAGGGATAAAGCTGATGAAACCTTCTTATTTGTCTTCTCTAATGACTCTCTGAAGAGAAGGGTGGAGGAATCATCCCCTTGGTCCATTAAAGGAAAACTTCTTGTCCTAAAGGAATGGGAGCCAGGCACAATAATCTCTGAAATGTCCTTTACATCTTGTCCATTTTGGGTCCAAGCTCATGGGCTCCCACCGAAATTGGTCACCGAAGAAAATGCAGACAAAATAGCAAAAGCATTAGGGGATTCTCCTTCAACTGGCAATAGATTGACCCAAATGAACGTTTGGAAAAACTACATCCGAACAAGAGTTCAGGTGGATCTCACAAAACCTTTAACCACTGACTTTGGGCTCTCTAGAGGAGATTTGCCTGCTAGGAAAATAAACCCAAAGTATGAGAGACTTGGTGACTTTTGTCATGGGTGTGGAAAAATCGGCCATGAAATTACAAGTTGTAGGGAGAAGAGAGCTACAAGAGAGGAACAGGTGTTTGGGCCTCATCTCAAAGCAAACTAGTGGAGGAGGAACGATGCACAAGCCCCACCGGAAAAGCAAGTGGCGTCAAAAAATCGATCTCCCATCCAACCAATGATGACACGTGTGGTTGTTCGTGACAAAGAGGCATTGGGAATCACAAAGGATAGCCAGCTGCAAGGAGGAATTGTAGAGCAGCGGTTATGCGAGGTACGTGTGCGGAGCATTGCAGTGCAAACACCACCCAGTACACGTGGCATCATCGTCTTAGCTGACATAATAGTGGAATTGGTATAAATACCGGTACTACACCTGAACCCCCACAAACCCATATATCACATTACCAGCCCATAGACCCAAAACGAATCACTCTTTAGCCCAGTTACCCCCAAGCCCAAATTAGAGCCCCAACACCCAATATTAATCAATTTCCAGAAACCTAGTCAAATAGACCTAAAGCCTAGAACAACCAATGAACCAACAACCTATAACAAAATGCCTATTGACCAAAAGAACCCCAAGCCCAATTTAGAGCTTCTAGACCCTTCACGAAAACAAACCCATGAAACTGACCCAATAGATTCAAAGCCTAAAGCAGCCAACAACCCAATAGCTCAGAATCTAAGCCAAAACCAGAAAGAAGATAAACACCCAACCCAATTCTCCCAAATCAATCAAATTCTTGATCTCTGCATGGCGAAAGTGTTTCATAAAATGTCCCTAAAACGAACTACTCAGGGAGGTAGTAACGAGGGAAAGGCTTTCGAAACCTAGAGGCAAGAGGATGGGTTTATCAAAGTGTTACATACCAATCCAAGGGTAGAGGCTAAAGACACTACAAGTCCAGATGATAACAGAAACTGAGGACATGAGTGTAGGTAAAGTAAGGTCCAATCAACTGAAGGAGGGTGGACTTGGGGGGAATTCATCTGCTAGCTACTTGAGACATAGACTGATGAGAAGCATCAAGAAAAAAAAGTAAACTCAAATATAAGAAATGAGCAGGAGGAGTTACAAAAGGTCACAGTTGAATGGTTTGAATAAATCACTGAGGTGGCTGGCCTTACCATGCCCCCACCCGATCCCTGAAAATCGTAGTCTGGAACTATCTTGGGGACTCCCTTGATAGTTTTGGTCCTAAAGGACCTTTGTGTCCCTCATAAGCCCCAGGTATTGTGTATTAGTGAAACAAAATTAAGAAGTCATAGAATTGAATGACTGAAAAGGGAACTACAGCTTGATAACAAGGTGGTGACTGATCCAAATGGTATGTCAGGAGGACTATGTATGATGTGGAAGAAAGAGGTTGGTATAACTATCATTGCATGCAATAGAAATCAAACTGATACTACAGTCATAAGGAAAGGCAACGTTGGGAGATGGTGTTTGTCCTTCGTGTATGGACACCCTGATTTTGATACTAGATGTGCACAATGGAGGAATCTTGTGGATTATAGGTGGACCATAGCATGTCCATGGCTATCTATTGGAGATTTCAATGATATTGCTTCTATCACTAAGAAGGAAAGAGGAAGGGACATGGAGAATAGAAAAATGAGTAACTTTAGAAATCTTATTGATGAAGCCCAATTAATTGATTTGGAAATTAAGGGATGCAAATTTACTTGGGATAACCACAGAGAGGGAATATCGAATGTAAGAGAAAGGTTAGATAGAGCCCTAGCATGCATTGCTTGGAGAGTTACCTACCCAAATGCTATTGTATATGCTCCACCTGTAATAGAGTTAGACCATTTCCCATTGGTCCTTGATCTTGAACCCCCTTTTAACAAGATCAGAAGACAATTTAGATTTGAAGTTGCTTGGATAGAAGAGGATGAGTGCCAGGAGATTATTCAGTAAAGTTGGTTCAGGGATGACAAGGGCTTGAAAATGTATAAATTGAGACAGAAGCTCAAAAACTATGCAAAGGAGCCGTACAGATGGAGCTCAACGAAGTTCAAAAATAGCAGGCGACAGATTGAATGACACAAAGCTAAGTTAGAGGAGTTGCATAACTCGCCAGGCTACGGGGAATGTATTGTAGAGGCAATAGACATTAAAAGAGACATTAAAAACCTATGGAGGAAAGAAGAAAAGTATTGGGGCAGAGATCTAGGCAGAAGTGGGGAGACAAAAATACCAGCTTCTTCCATGCCATCACTATATAGAGATGACAAAGAATAGGATTTGTGATGCTGAAGCACAATGAAGGAGAATGGGTAACAGAACATGACCATATTCTTAGCATTATTGGGGAGCATTTTAGCAATATTTTCACTATAGAAGGCATCAGAAACTACTCACAGATACTATAACATATCCCCCAAGAGGTCACAATAGAAATGAATTTGAACCTATTGAGAACTCCTACTTTAGGGGAAATAAAGAACATTGTTTTCAATATGGGAGCCTTGAAAGCCCCTAGACCAGATGGTTTTTCTGGGATGTTTTTCAAAAAATATTGGGAGGTGATTAAAAAGGAGGTAATGGCAGCATTCTAGGTGTTTTTTCATTTTGAGTTTATGTTAAAGGAACTCAATGAAACCAACATTGTCTTGATTCCTAAGACATAGAATCCTGAAGAGGTGGGAGAGCACAGGCCAATTTAGCTGTTGTAATCTAATTTACAAGGTGATCTCAAAGCTACTGGCATCTAGGCTAAAACCCTACATAGCTAGACTGGTATCCCAAAACCATAGTGCCTTTATAGCCGGGAGGCAGATACAAGATAATATTATAGTGGCCAAAGAAGCTTTGCATTCTATAAAAGCAAGGAAGAGGATTAGAAAGTATCAATTGGCTCTCAAGCTTGATATGGCGAAGGCATACGATAGAGTGGAATGAGACTTTTTAAGGGACATGCTTCTCATGATGGGGTTTGATCCCAAGTGGGTGGGCCTGATGCATTATAACTGTAAGGTACAATGTTCTTGTCAATGGTAGTATGAGAGTAGAAATCATACCACCGAGGGGCCTTAGGTAGAAGGACCCTAAAAAATAATGGAGAGAGCCATACAAACACAACAGTTACAGGGTCTTCAACTAAGCAGAATGGTCCAATGTTTTGCCACTTGCTATTTGCAGATGACTCTATTTTCTTCTCTAGTGTAATGAAATCAGATTGTGAATCGCTAATGGATTGCTTGAGCAAGTATTGCTATGTCACAAGTCAGCAAATCAACCTAAATAAATCAGCCGTAATGTTAAGTTGAAATACTCCTTCCCAAGTCCAGCTGGAAATGGCTCAGATTCTGAGAGTCTAGATAGCTCAAAAAACATGAAAATATCTAGGTCTACCTACTAAATGGGGAAGAAGTAAGAACCAAACTTTGTCATGGATCAAGGAGGGAATTCATTCAAAAGTAGCTGGCTGGAAGGAGAGGTTTCTCAACCAGGCAGGTAGAGAGACCCTTATTAAAGCAGTGGTACAAGTCATCCTAGTGTATACATTGAGCATATTTAAGTTACTGAAGTCCTTAAATCAAGATATCACCTTGTGTATATCCAGATTTTGGTGGAGTAAAAGCTCAGGTGATAGGGGAATTCATTGGAAGAGATGGGGAGGAATGAGATTTAGAGTTTTCCAGAAATTTAACATTGTTTTGTTAGCCAAACAAGCATGGAGATTACATCAAGACTCTAATTCGCTATGGGCTAGGGTCTTGAAGGCAAAGTATCACTACGACACGGATCTATGGCCTGCCAGACCTTAGGCATCGTGTCATGGATTTGGAGAAGTCTACTGGAAGGAAGAACCTTTTGCTAAGGGTTGCATGTGGTAGATTGGGGATGGTATAAAGTAAAGTGTTGGGAGGACCCTTGGGCAACAGGGAATCGAAGATTAATGAATGAACATCAAAGCAGTGTTGTTTTTTTCAATGACCTGATTCAATTCCCAGCACGAAGATGGAATGAGGATTTAATCAGGACATACCACCTCCATAAGTGGTGCCTAATGTACTGTCTATCTCTCTCAGTGAATCGAACCAAGAGGATAGATTGGGGTGGCCATTCACAGCTGATGGGAAATATTTTGTACAAAGTGATTATCATTTTTAGATGCAAAGCCAAAATCCACAGCATGTTGCAAATAAAACCTCATCCTCCTACTTTCCCCTCGAAGGTTTGTGGAAAAGAATTTGGTCCATCAAAGCTCAGCCAAAAATATTGACCTTTGTGTGGAAAGTGGTGAATAAAGCAATGGCTTCGAGAGAAAACTTGTGGAAAAGGAAGATAGTTTAAATCCCCTTTATGTCAGATATGCTGGATGACGGAGGAAACAATTGAACATCTATTTCTCTTATGCCCTTGGGTGGGGGATGTATGGAGACAATCACCTCTGAAAATTGAGATTGATTTATCAATGATATCTAGATTTGAGACATGGATAATGGAAGAGCTAGGAAAGGCAGTCCTAAAATTGCATATATGCTATGGTTTTATTTGGAAAGCTAGAAATCATGGAGCTTCCAACACCTTTCGTTGATACCTAAAAGGGTAATTGACCGAGCTATGGTGAGGTTTAGCAGCTGCTTGAGATATAGGAAAAGGGTCTGACGCAACAACCACAAACAACAAGTTTGGAAAGATGGAAAACACCACCAAGAGATGGATCAAGTTAAACTGTGATGGAGCATTCTCCGCAAAGTCCAGAGGGGTGTCTTTGCTGTTGTTGCTAGAGACCATAGAGGATGCCTTGTAACGGGGGTCTCTGGAGAAAAGTTTGTGGCTTCCCCCCTTGCTGCTAAGCATGGGCAATTCCAAGAGCTTGCTCATTTGGCAAATGTGGAAGGTTTCAATGCAGTTATTATTGAATCGGACTTGAAAGCTCTAATTGACTGCCTCTCAAAGGACACATCTACACGCGCTAAGGGACATTGAAATGATCCAAGAGAATATATGGCAGTATATGAGGACTATTTCCTTAATTCAATTCCAAGTAGTTAAAAGGAATGAGAACCAACTGGCTCACCTTATAGCCTCCTTGACCAGAAATGGTTTCATCCCTACACATTGGGCTGCTAACCCACCTGGTAGAGTTCCTACAACTAGTGAACAAGGAAGCTAGAGAAGGAATTGGGGTAGGAAAGATTCTGATGGTTGGAACTCGATTTGAAGCCATTTCAAAGTCTAGTTTTGCTCATGATACCTTTTTGTGTGATAGAGTAACAAACCAAAAGAAAAAAACTACTGTTTTTGATGATGTCATATTGGATGGTTGGACATCAGAAGTTGCAGAGGGAGTTAGGATATCGTAGGAGCAGTTGTGGCTTGTTACTGTCTCGCTATTTTTGTCTATCGTTGTAGCTGTTACTACAATGCTAATAAAATTCATTATTATTGTAATTGCTACTATCTCAATATCACTATCCTATGTTACTGTTATTGCTTCGTTGTTGTTGTTGTATTTCTGTTATTGTTATTGTGTCTCTGTTACTACTACTGCCTCACTGTTACCATCTATTTTGTAATATAAGTATTTTATGTTATTAAGGGTAAATTAATCATTATGTCTTTAATTGTTCTTTGGGTTAATTGCACCAATGGCCCTGAAGTTTACCACTTGTTAAACTTTCGTTCCTATAGTCCTAATTTAGTCAATTTAGTCCTCAAACTTTGGATTTTGAGCAAAGTTGTCTTTCTCTCTAACTACCGTCCAAATCGCTAACGAAAAACAACATGTGCACAACACACGTAGAAGACAAAAGGGCGTCATTATCTTCTCTCCTTATTTTCTCGCCCATCCAACCATCTTTTCTCCCATTATATGT